GTGTGTCTTATAGTCCAGTGTGTCTTATAGTCAGAAAAATACGGATATAATTTGGGATGAACACCCTTGGAATGGTGTGGGAGTAGGAATGGATTTCCAGAGGAAAAAAGCAATGCAGACTGCAGGAATCAGAAGCACTAACTCAGGGGACCCTGAGGACACAGATAAACCTCCAAGTGCTTCGATGACCCTCTAAAAGGATGCAAATGACCAGCTGTCTGCAAGGAGGATAAATCCTTCCATTCCCCACCATCCAGTCAGAGCTGAAGAAGCTTCTTAGGTGAGAAGTGAAAGGTCTTCAAAGAAAAAACAAGAAAGCCCAGTTGCCTCCTGAAAAAAGCACCTTGACCTGGATGACAGAGAATCTCAATACAGTTCCCCTGCTGTTTCACACAAGAGGCAAGGCTTGCCATGTATTTAGGACAAAGTTCAAAAGTTGAGCTTTTTTCAAGAGATATGGACGTTCCCATTGCCAGGGTCAGAAGAAATTAGAAGTGGGTGTGATGGTAGGGAGAAAGAGGCCAACGCATTGTTTGCCAAATATTATGGGATATCCGGCAAACAAGAAGTGCAAGTTCTCATAAAGAACAACTCAGCTCAGTTCTTCTGTGCCTATCAAGATCTTTGGATTAAATCTGAATTGGGAATCAAAAAGATTCTAAAGCATGTAAATCACTTTTGACTCTATGATCAGAACTCGCGAGTAGGTGGGTGTACTTTGGACTGATTGCAAAACAACGTGACTTTTCTACCTTCACTAGAAAGCAATTTATTTATTTATTTTGAAAAAGGGAGACGCACAATCCAGAAAGGGAGGCAGCTTTTGAGGAGGGCCCAAAACCTTTTCCACTTTCATCTCTTATCACCTGGATCATACAGGTAGCATTTTAAACACCACCACCACCCAGCTTCAGATGAAGGCCTGAAACATTTGCTTCGCTGCACCAACGGCAGGTGCAGCCGGTTGCCAGGTGGCGTTACCTTATCAACTTCAGTCTCGTTAATCATCTACCTGCCTCTCATTTCCGCACAAGCCCTTTCCTGCTTTGAATCAGAAACCGCTTGCAGTGAAAGGCTACAATCCAGAGGACACCAGTTTGGCACCCAGGGCGGGTTGCTTTGCCTCTTCCCTTAGGCGAACACTCCTTAAATCAATGTCATCAACTTTGCATTCTTCCGTGAGAAAACTCCAGTGTCGAAAGCTTGACGGGGAAGGACTGTTAGCAGATCAGCAGCTCTCCTGCTGCTGCTTCATTTCCCTGGCCTGTCCCAGATTTAGCCAAAGTTGAGCGCTTCGAGGAAACTCCCTAAAGCAATGGAAGAGCTCCACCCTCCACTGAGACCTTCAACCATCCCTCCGGCTGGGCGTGCCTCTGCTTTGGGACGGTGCCTAGATTAACGCCGTACCGCACCCTCGTAGGTTTTCCGATCAGCTCCTTGAGACGCTTTGGTGGGCTCCTTACGTTTTTCCTGTGGGCTCTTTGCCCTGCTGGCATCGAAGGGGTCACCATGCCAGCTCTTCAATTCAATAGCCGCTCCCTGATTTCTCCGCTGGGGATCATTCGGTTGTTGGAGATATTCTTCTCCTGCACCGCTTTCAGCTTAGCAGCTGTCTATTTCCTCAATTTAAACTATGGGGCTTGGTCAATGTTTACTTGGTGCTTCTGCTTCATCGTTTCTATCTTTGTGGTCATTGTGGAGCTGATCAGCCTGGATGCCGCCCTGCCTCTTTCCTGGCAGGACTTCACCTCTGCCTTCTCCATGCTGGCCACTCTGATGATCTTCACAACTTCCATCATCTACCCAGCAACCTTCATACCTCTCTGCAGCGGCACCAGCTGTGGTTATCAGATTGGGGCTACCATCATGTCTTGCCTCTGCTTCATTGCCTATGCAGTAGAAGTAGGACTCACCCGGGCCAAAGCAGGGGAGCTCAGCAACTTCCTGATTACCATCCCTGGCCTTCTGAAAATATTTGAAGCCTACGTAGCTTGTCTTATCTTCTCCTTGCTGGACAACCTTTCCTTTTACAGGTATGCTGCTGGTTTGGAATGGTGTGTGTTTGTCTACTCCATCTGCTTCATTCTAACCATGGTGATCATCATTCTCACCATTGGACGGTGCCTTGGTTCCTTGCCCATCCCTGTGGAGAAGGTTCTCATTGCCTACAACATCTTGGCTGTTCTCATGTATCTTACAGTGGTAGTTGTATGGCCTTACTACAGCTTTTGGGATCGTCCAAGATCTTCATGTAATAAGATGGGCTCCTGTGCTGCCTGGAACAATCACCTGGGAATTACTTTTCTCTCCTTCTTCAATCTCATTGCCTACATCGTGGATTTTGCCTATTCTTACAAAATGGTTTTTGTGGCCACACCGGCATAGATGACTCGTGTACTCATTTCTTCCACATACATGTACGTGTGGAAACCCCATTGGCTTGTGCTGCTGGACCTGCTGAGATCTAGGAAGCATGGCTCCAGGAGTAGCAGAGGTGTTAGATATCTGAGGTGATGGCGGTGATGGTACTTCTAACCTTATAATTACGCGATTTAGATTTTGGGCTGTTCTATTTTATACTTGCGGTTATGTTGGATGGACTGATCTCATTTCCTTAAAAAAGTTGACCCCTATCTTCACTCAATAAGAAGACCTCTGTGAATTACACCCTGGTTAGATGTGAGTCCTTCAGGTGTGACTAGAAGTTCAATTCAGGGCCTTAAAATGATTTTGGAGAAACCAGCGTGCTATAATCTTTCCAGCCTCTGTTTTAAACTCTAGCTGTGAGAAGTGAGAAGATTATGAGCAAAGAGGGAAAATCAGGAGTGGGGAGGAAGCTGAAGACAACTTTAATCATCGCACTGGGCTGAGGGCACAAATTTTTCTTCATATGTGTTCTACAGGAATGTTTTCTTTGTCTTTCAACAGAATATCTTATTCAATTTAGATGAAATATGAGATATTATCACTGCAGAATATGGAGTTGGGGGGGGTTCTATTGCTGTGCTAAGCAGTCAGCTAAAACATGGCTTGTTGGATTATGGATTGTTGAATAAACCACAATTGGCAATAAAAAGGGAAAAGCTCCATCAAGTTGGATACATTCTTGGTAACTGCGTGAGTTCATTTCTGACGATCTCCCACCTAAGTATTAGCCACATGATCTGATCCTGTATGAAGATCTGTCCTATGGACTATTCCTGATAGGCAGACACAAAAATGAAGGTAGGATCTCTTCTGAGTCAAATTCAACTGTTGGTGACTTTATGAACATGGTCATGTTTTTGCGGGCAACAATATGGAGGTGGATTGCCCTTGTCTTCTTACAGCACGGGTGTCAAACTCGCCATGTCACGTTGATGTCATGGGATGTTTTTTGCCTTCATGTAGCTAGGGTGGGCGTGGCCTGCATGTGACACATCTGGCCCACAGGCTGACAGTTTGACACCCCTGTTTTACATGATGGATATGGGGCTTGTTTTTCTTTATAGCTTAGACCAGGGGTCTCCAACCTTGGCAACTTTAAGCCTGGCGGACTTCAACTCCCAGAATTCCCCAGCCAGCTGGCTGGGGAATTCTGGGAGTTGAAGTCCCCCAGGCTTAAAGTTGCCAAGGTTGGAGACCCCTGGTTTAGACTACATCTGTAGGATATTTTCCTAGTCCTCCATCTAGGTAAAGTGGAGGAGTAGACAGATGACTTTGGAGAAGCTAATGTGACGGTTGTTAGAACAATATGATCTTAAACTATTAAGTGACAGATCAGCTCAGTTTGAGCAAACAAAGTATGATAAAGAAACTTTCTTCAGGAAGGCCAAGTCAGGAAACAAACACCAGAAGAAATAGTAGAATGCGAATTTATGGATGAAGTCTTTTGAAAGACAGGGTTTTCCCTTCCCTCACTCTTAAGACCAAAGAAAGCAAAAGTTAGGGCAGTCTTAAGCCCCTTTCTCAATGTCCCCAGACTGAGCTCATGCTTTTTCTAAATGTCTCTGCATAATGTCTCCATAATCTCTCTTGAATTCCTCTACACTACTAGCCAAGCTTCCTTGAGATCAGCCAAGGTTGCTTAAGTGTGAACATCTGGTGGGTCCAATTCACGCTGTAAGCTAAGCCAAATTCCTTGGTTTACAAACTGGGTGCTGAGTTCATACAACATGCTAAGCTGAAATGCAACATAAAATCAATTTCACATGCATTCAGAAGACCAATCTGTTATTCATTAGTACTTAAATCTATACTTTCCCTTATTAAGATTGTAATAAAGATAATGAAACACCAATAGGTACTAATAACATCCTGGGCTTGGATGATCTCAACCTCAGCTTGTTAGTAACTTTGTAGTAGACCACCGGAAAGTCCCAAGGCAGTAGACCAGGGGCGTCAAACTCCTGTCTTCATGGCGGAGTCACATGAGGTATTGGGACTTTTCCCCCCTTCACCTAATTGGGCATGGGCATGGCCAGCCCATAAGGCATCCAGCCCATGGGCTGGGAATTTGACAGCCCTGCAGTAGACAAAGCTGGGAAGTCACAAAACATCCCAGAAGACAAGGGCAAACCACAACTGTTGTGTTGTCAAGAAAATGACATGTGCATGAAGTTGTCAAGATGTAGTTTAAATCAAAAAAGACTTACTTTGTCTTCATTGTACTGAGTTTGCAACAGTGGTGGGATACGACTGGTACACTCTGGTATGGGCATACCGATGCCTGCTGGGAACACCAGATACCATTCCGGTACGGTGCTCCGGACGGCCCACCCACCTGCCTGCTCTCCTTACCTGTATTTGACCCAACGCTTGCACGATGACCCGCTGGACAGCTGGAGTGTCGTGGGCGGTGGGTACGCAGGTCCAGTGCCTGGCCCCATTGCAGTGTACTGGTTGCAACGGGATCCAGAACCCACCACCGGTTTGCAACTCATTTAGGGTCTTGGATAAACAGCAGATGAAAGAATTATGCATATAGCCACACATTATGGACACACATATGCGTGTATTATGGAGCGGTTTAATTCTTGAATATTTTCAGTTGTGCTAATAAGCAACAAAGTGGGTGGGTTTTCCAGCCAATCTAACTTCTTTATAAACCAGAGATGTCCAACCTTTAACTCCCATGCTGGCTGGGGAATTCTGGGAGTTGAAGTGCACAAGTCTTAAAAGTCGCTAAGTTGGATGTTCCTCTTATAGATTTCTAAAGCATACAGTGATACATATAGTCTTCACACAAATCGTTGGGATGGGGATGAACGGATTGAGTCTGATTGACAGTCCCTGGCCTATTTTAACCAGGATTGATTGAATGAATCACTTGATTTGGTTCACACTGCATGCTAAACCAAAGGCAGCATTAGCGAGATAGGTGAACCTGGCTAAATAGCTTACCCTGTTTCCCTGGAAATAAGATCTCCCTGGATAATAAGCCCAATCGGGCTTTTGAGTGCATGTGCTAAAATAAGCCCTCCCCTGAAAATAAGCCCTCAACACAGCAGCAACCATGAGGTGACCATGCTCGTCACTTCCTGCACCTCAAAAATAATACGATATCCCCAAAAATAGGGCCAAGTGCTTATTTCGTGGGACAAAAGAAAATAAGACCCTGTCATATTTTTGGGGAAACACGGTAATCTCTAAGCACGCTTGCCATGGGGTCTTTGCTAAACCCAGAGGATCTCTGCTGATCTCATACCACAAAAAAACCTCCCTAGAAAATAAAGATTTTATTGAATAATCAAGAACAAACTTTTTTGATCTGCAACGTAACTTGTTTCTGCCATTCAATCAGTGGTGGCATTCAGCCGGTTCGGCCCTATTGAGGTGAACCAGTAGTGGGCCAGTGCCCCCATCCCGGTGCTATGCCACCCTATTTAGCCACATTTTCTAAGCCATGTGCATGTGTGCAAGCTATGCACACGAGCAAAGTGCATGCGCTGAAGGCCGCACAGTTTTGGTGCACGGCGAACTGGTGATAAAATTATGTGAAACCCACTGCATTCAGTATACCCTGGTGGACACTGGCATCAATTTACCATTGTTCACAATGCCTCTTGGGAATTATTTCATTGCAATGCAATAAAATATTTGTAGCTCAGGGCTGAACTGTACCCTTGCACTGATGATGTTACCTAGTTGGGTCGTGAAACATCTGCAAGCAAGCAAGCAAGCTCGAAGAGCACGAAGGACTCCACCACTGCAGGCAGCCCTCGGCTTACAACCATTTGGTTGGTGGCTGTACAATAGCACTGAAAAAGAGGGACAACCAGTCCTCGCACTTATGACCATTATAGCATTCCCCACAGTCATGGTTTCAATATTCAGGTGCTTGGCAACTAGCATGTACTTATGACGGTTGCAGCATCCCAGGCCATGTGATCTATTTGTGACATTCCAAGCCACCTGCTGACAAGTCGTTAAGCAAATCTGGGGAGCCCGATTTGCTTAATGACAGCATGATTCACTTTACAAGTAAAATGATTCACTTAACAATCATGACCAAAAAAGGTGATACAAATGGGTGCAACTTCCTTAACAACCAGCTTGCTTAGCAATAGAAATTCTGGTCCCCATTGTCATAAGTCAAGGAGCTCCCCTTAGAGGGGGAGCTCCTGCCTCACAATCGGAAAGCTGTGAGTTCGATCCTAGGGAGAGGCAGATATTTCTCTCTCTGGGCACGATGAGAATATATCTGCTGAACAAAACTCCGCATTGGCATCAGGGAAGGGCATCCGGCCAGTAAATCCTCAAGTCCATTCAGTTGCCCAGACTCCACCCCGCAAAGGATTATGGGGTTGTTAAAAAAAGATGATTGTCATAAGTCAAGGACTACCTGTATTTCATTATTCTTTCCTGGCCATCTTGAGCACTGATTGACTTGGCCCAATATCAACTTCTTAGTAAGTCTGCAGTCCTTGGTTGCCTACAATTGTTAAGCCTGATATAGGTGATCCATGCTATACTTTAGAAATGATATATCCATGATCTTAAACTGCTGTAATCCTGAAGGGGAGGACTAAAGCATCGTACCTGTCCCAAGTTTCACTTGAGAAATGACAAGCTGAGTATGTGGTTGGGCAGCAGCCAAGGAATGTCCCTTATTGCAAATATACAGGTGAAAAATCTGGGTCTAGTTACAACATCCCAGCGGTCGGGCCAAGATGATGAAGAGTTTGTGATTGGTTGCAACTCCGGTGCCAGCCCAGAACTCTTGCAATCGTAGCTCTTGAATGATGAGTTCTATGAACAGCATGACCTATTTACATTAAGGTGGTCCTCATTTAAAAGCAGAAGAGATAACCCCATCACTAAACAAGGCAGTTCCATTAAACGTGATCGCACCAGGTGGATCTGTGCCATTTTATTTTCGGGATAATTGGAGGTTGTTGTTGTTGTTGTTGTTTTGCAGCATTAAGGTAAAGGTTCCCCTCGCACATATGTGCTAATCATTCCCAACTCTAGGGGACGGTGCTCATCTTTGTTTCATAGCCGAAGAGCCAGCTATGTCCGAAGACATCTCCATGTTCATGTGGACAGCGTGACCCAACACCAAAAGCTCATGGAGCGCCGTTACCTTCCCACCAAAGGTGATCCCTATTTTTTCTACTTGCATTTTTTACATGCTTTCGAACTGCTAGGTTGGCAGAAGCTGGGACAAGTAATGGGAGTTCACTTTTTCAGGAGGCAACAGGACTTTCCTGGTTTTTCTTTTGAAAATGTTTCGCTTCTCACCCAAGAAGCTTCTTCAGCTCTGACAGGATGGTGGGGAATGGAAGGATTGATACTCCTTGCAGACAGCTGTCTGTTTGCATCCTTTTAGAGAGTCCTTGAGGCCACTTGGAGGTTTATCTGTGTCCTCAGGGTCACCTGAGTGGTGCAAATGGTTCCTGTAGTCTGCATTTTCCCCCCTCTGGAAATCCACTCTTACTCCCACACCATTCCAAGGATGGTTTATCCCAAATTGTATACCTGGATAACTGAGAATCTTTATGGACATTAAGTGTCATCTTGATATCCCCCTGGACGCCAGAACAGCATTAAAAATGGGGGACAAGTTATGACTGAGATCTCCACCTTGTTTGAGGAAAGGATGGGTTCACCCT